AAAAGTCAAACTTTGACTTTTTGAGTAAAGTTGAGTCCCAAAAATGATATTTCATCAAGACATCTAAAATATGAAATTTGATCATCAAAAATCAAGAAAGTAAAAAAATTCCAACTTTTGCAAGACTTGGAATTTTTTCTAAGTTGAGTTCATTACTTCATGATATCTTGTCACTACAATTCAAAATAGTTCAAGATGTTACAAATAATTCAAGTTATTACAAATTGGAAATTTTTGCAAGTTTACAAATCCTATACTTTGTATTGCTTGGACTTTTTCCTTTGACTTAAAACCTTGCCATAATGCTTTGTCTTTGATACCATTTACATAAATTGTTCCACAAATCAAACTTGTTTCATGTTGCAAACTATGTTGTCCAAGTTATTGCTGAACAAAAGTATGATATGATACTTCTATACATTGCCACAACACTACAAAGCCCCGCTCCATTGTTGTCCTACAAAAAACCTTGTGCTATGCTGCACCACAAACTTGTCACAAAAACCTGCATATGTTGTCCTATACAGTCCAAAGTCTGTCCAAAAAACCAGTCCAAAACTGCTCTATGCAGTCTGCTCCAACCTGCATCATAACAGCCACAAAATTGCACCAAAATGGAAAAAGAAAATTGTGTGGAAAAGTATCAATGCAGCAGGCAAAAATAGTTCAAAATAACTTATTTTGTTTCCCTCCTATATCTCAGTCAAGGATCTACAAAACACATTGTTTCATAAAACATAAGGGGGGTTTTTTGGAGAGAAAAAGAGAGAAGAGAAAAAAATAACTTTTGTTAAACCCAACTCATTTTCATAAAACTCTACTCATCTTCAAATATGTTTTCACCCACAAAACAAAAAAAATCCCCAACCTATTATTATACAACCTTGCAAACAAATCTCATAAACACTTCACATCACATAGATATTGTTCAAGCACAAGAACAATTTCTATAGTGCCCTTATTCTCAACTTCTAAACAAAAGACAATATTACACAAACTTGACTGTTTGGAGTTGGTTCAACAACCTTAAACACAAAGGAGGTTTAGAAGCTTTCTGGAGTTTCATCAAGGTCCATACAACATCTTGAAGGGTATTCAGACTCAAAACCTAAAGTGCAGTTTCAAGGTAAGTCATCTTAACTTTGCATTTTCCATACATCATTTTTGGTTTATTTCTGAAGATAGGATGCATCAATCACTACTCTTGAAGTTAATCATTTACTTACTATTCATGTTTATCATTTATATGTTGAAAACATACTGATTCATGCAAAAGAATGGTGAAAGAAGCAAAAAACAACCGCATGAGTCGACACATACCCACGTGCGTCAACTCATTCTAAGTGAAAAAACAGGGTATGAGTCGACACAAGGCCTTATGCATCGACTCATACTGCTATCCAGGTCACAAAATAGAAAGATGGAAGGTGCATGAGTCGACACAAAATATGTATGTGTCAACACAAGCAGGAAATGATTCGACACATCCCATTATGCGTCGACTCATATTGAGTTAATTTGGTTTGGCAGGGGCGAGTAAAAGTTATGTGTCGATGTATAACAGCATGTGTCGACACATAATAGTTCAAAATGCAGTTTTTCCTTCTTTTTACACTGTTTTTACATCGTATATATATATTCTTCATTACTGTCCACTTATTCAATATGGTTGTAATAATTAGACACCTATTTCATCCCCATTTGCAAATTGTATCCCCATCCCCTAATAATGTAATATCTTAGGATTTTAATTTCCCCAAGTTTACCGCTTTTCATATAATTTCTAGTAAGATAAGGTGTGTATGATAAGATAAAATCAACCGTTAGACCATCCTAATCAAAGACTAAATGCATGCAATCAAACATATTATTCACACACATGCACCTCTAGGGTAATCTCACTTGTTGTCTTGGAAAATAGTCATGTCCCTCGAATATGGGCATTTTAGCAAATACCCTCGATAAAAATATCGTAGTCCCTCGATGTTGCCTTTGGTAAAACGATCTTAGTCCCTACGAAAATTGCTAAAACGTCTCATTAGTTACCTTCTACGACTATACAATTGACCCGCGTGTGTCCCTTCACATCCAACGATGGGGCTTCTTATAAACCAATGGTAAGATAGCCACATCTAAAGGAGGAGGAAAAGAACATTAGACCTTTTGAGTAGGTAGGACGCTCGTAGTTGCTTGCTCTTGAACTAAAACCATTTCCACACTTACACTTTCAAAAACATCTTCAAAAACAAACATCTCTTTGAACTATTTTCAAAAGCAACACTTTGTACGCATTCTTATAGAGGCGAGAATCATTACAAAATTCGCCACAATAATGGAATTTTGCAATATTTTCAAACCCACACCACAAAGCACATTTTCAAACAAAGCAAGTGATCTAGCAAGCAACTAAGAGCCCGTAGACAACTACGAATGAAAAGGGTGCTAACACCTTCCCTTTTCATAACCTACCCCCCGAACTCAAGAAAATAATCTCAAAGGTCTTTCCTGTTCTTTTCACCCTTTCCTTATTGGATAAAAGAAAAATCGATGGTGACTCTTGCTACCCGCAACAATTGCGATCAAACACAAAATAACCAAGTTAGTTCTCCTACCGTATTACACCATCGAACATTTTTTATCCCATGAGAAGGGAAAGGTAAACATCGAGTAAACCTGAGAAGGGTGAAATCACGAGCAAGTGACCGAGAGATACGAGTAAGGGAGTCTGTTATGCAAGGGGAATGTATTAGCACCCTACACCCATAGTACTTTATGGTATCCACACTTGTTGTTCTAATCAAAGGGTGTGTTTAATAATCTATGCTTAAGAGCTAAAAGAAAATGCAAAGAGGGAATGCATGCAAAAAAAAAGAGAAAATAATGTAAGGAAAAATAAAATTGTGCTCGTTCGGGCCCTACCCAAATGCCTATGTATCCCTTTTAAGGAATCAGAGCAGCCGTTGTTCGACTCAAAATTTTCTGTTGGTTTGTATTTTTTTAATAAAAGATATTAATTTTTCCTTCTGCCGCAACTCGACCTTTGGAGGCTCACGCGTCAGCACAGAAGTGAATCAACATGTTCTTTTGAAAAGTTTGGAAAAAAAGCCCGAAGGCGCAAAAGAGTTTGCATTGGTTGATATCTTTTACCTTAAAGAAGGATTTGAAAGTTGTTAGATGTTTTATGATTTTTTCAAGAAAAAGAGTTTTAGTCTTAATGCAATGATGCAAAAGAAAGAAAAACATCTAAGGAAGACTAACCTAGATCTATCCCTAATGTCATCATACAATGATTGACCCTAAGGTTGAGTTTTGAAAGGGAAATATTTACCCTATGTTAGCATGGATGGATACCTATCCTAATGTCTAGCTCGAAATCTACTATAATCGAGCGATCCTAAGGGAAGCATACAAATTCCTATTCTAAGGGAAACATACAAATTCCTATTCTAAGGGAATATGGTGTAGCAAACAAATAAGCAAACAAGTGCTTTGACAAAAGCATACAAACATGAGTAACACATACTGACTCAAAGGGATGGGGGAAACAAGAGAAAAGCTTTAGCTAAGGGGAGTGTATCACCCAAAGCAAACAAGCGGGAGACGAATGAAATAAAAAAATTTGACATCCAAAGCGACTGAACACCTAACCAAGATATAGAAGATTCAGGTAGGAGATAGAAGATAATATGAATGATCACGGAGTGTCAGCATCGGCCAATGCGAACTCCTGACAAAGCGTGGGGGTTTGATTGCAAAACCCTTCCCCACTTGATGGACTTGATACACAAGATCTGCACGACTCCGAAGCATCGACGTACCATGTGAGCTAAGGATGACACATACTAGAATGTGCGGGGGTCGATTATGGACCCTCCCCGCTTGCCTCCTCTTGAGGACTTGTCACCTGTAATATATGCGGGCACAAATGTAAACACATGTGTGGAATACCTACTTCAAAGGTAGGATTTTAAACAACCACAAATAGCATACAAAAAGCGGTGACTGCTACAGGACTTTAAACAGTGACTTTGAGCGTACACTCTTTATTTCTTTCTTTTCATGATATCTAGAAAGCAGTAAAATTCTTACTTCCCATGATATTTAGATAAGCGGTAAAATGCTGAAATGAGATAAACAAGGGAAAATACCAAATGGATATCAATCCGTAGCAAAGCGTATCAAAAACAAAGAAACCCAATGATATTCGCGAAAGCTTCACCAATCAAAGAAAAGATTCAGAAATCAAATGCTCGGAATAAGTGTCGAAGCATCATCGATGTGAAAATAAATCACGATCAGAATCTCAAGCATATCTGCATATCACACAATAAATTTCTATAAGACTCAAATCTCAACAAGAAAATGTGAATTACCAATCTCAAATATAATTGGATAATCGGGATTTAATTCCTAAAATCACATTAAAAAAATCGAACAAATTTTTATTGATTTTATAATTTTTGTCATGAGAAGGATGGAACAAGTCTAAAAAATTAACATCGGGATTTCATTCCTAAAATCACATAAAAAAAATCTAACAAATTTTTATTGATTTTATAATTTTTGTCATGATAAGGATGGAACAAGTTTAAACAATTAACAATTTTATTCAACAAAATTGGCAAATTATAAAAACAAGGCCCATGGGGGGTGCAAAAACCGGAATGCAGGAGGTGTTGTAGCAAGTCTGGCGCCTAGGCCCAGACTGTTGAGTCCACAATGTTGTTTTTGTTGCACATGGTTTCACCTAACCAAAAAACTCCATTGGGCTTAGGAGAGATTTGGCCCAGACCCACAACAATATCCAATCCAGTTTTTTTTGTATTTTCATTCAGTTTGTCATTAGCAGCAAAAAAAAAAGAGAACTGATGGGCCTAGGAAAGGATCTGGTCCGATTCGTATTCCCACAATAAAAAAAACTATTTCATCATTTTTATTTCAAATAATCAAAATAAAAAAACTATTTCATCCTTTTATTCCTCTCTTGGTAAAACGGCACGATGGCTCAATCCTTTAACTTCTTCTTCATTTTTCACCAGCGTGGCTCCATCCTCCGGGTGTCTGCGCCACACCTCATCATCACCATCCATTATTCCACCAAGGTTTCAACCTTTTTCGTCTCAAGCAGCTCACCATCACCATCTGATTTTAGGTTCGAGTACGTCATTGTCCGTCTCATTCAGATGCGAAGTCTCTGTCTTAAATAGTTGTTCATCCCCTCCTAATATTCACTTCAGATTTGAGTTCAAGACTTGTTCGATTTTGACGCAAAAATTGATACAGTACGAAGAAAGAGCGACACGAATAGGGAAGGATTAGAGATTGAGGTTTACCTCCCAGAGAAAATCCAGTGGTTCTTCAAAGTAGCGAATTCGAGAGAAATCTTCGAAGAATCAGGTATCGATACTTTTTCCTTATTTCGATCCGTGTTGTATTCATACTTCATCTTCTTTCCATTTCCTGTGTTTCTGCATTTTTTATTATGACAATGTTGTTGCGCTTGTGATATCCGTTGTTGATAACAGGAGGAGATTGGCGATGAAGATGATGATGATTCAGGAAGATTGAAGGAGTTGCAGTATTGATGTTGCATTACGAAGTCGCGAGGATGATGATGGTGATTGAGGCGCAGCAAGATATTGTTGAAGAGTGAATTTACTGTGAAGAACGACTATGGTGATGGAGGTTCTGCAGAGGAAAGCTAGCTACAGAGAGCGTTTGTGGTTGAAGATGGAAGAAGAGAGCAAAGAGAAGATGAGAGAGTTTTTTACGTGATTCTTTAGAGAATTTAAGAAAAAGATGAAGATTAAGGGGTAACTTTATGTTATTTATCTATTATGAGTTTGTTAGGATTAGAATGCATCTGAGCCGTTGATTTCAATTTCTGTTATAGAAAATGAATGGTGAGATCTGACGGTTAGAATTTTTTATGAGAGTTAGTTAAGTAATTCGAAATTCTGTTGCAAGTCAGTTATGGAAGTTATGATGAGTTGGCGTTCTATTTTTTCTTGAAATAGTTTCTATTGAACTGTAATTGGTTAGTGTAGTTGCTTCTGATTCAATTCTCTTAAATTCCTGATTTTATCTCTTCTGATTTTCTCTGCTTTTGTTAGGTACTGATGTTGCAGCCTGTATGACGTAAGCACAAGTTCGGAGGAATTTGATGTCGACTTGGGGTAGTCAATGTTGTATTAGATCGGATGTTGGTAGCAAGAGAGGTCTGAGGAAGCGTAGCGGACAAAACACTCTGTTGAGCTTGAGGTTGAGGAGCTGAAAACTGTGCATTTATGTAACTCAGCTGTTGTCTATGACACAAGCTGAAACAGATGATGTGCATCAAGCTGATAGATGACTAAATATCGGTGAACTTTTAAAGCTTGTGTCGGCTGATTGGAGAGACTTCTCAAATAGAACAGTATCGTCTTCTACACTGGTCTTTGCAAAGTTGAAATTTTGGTATAAAGATACAAGAGAGTTCACAACTTCAGACATTTGGGGATGGAGTTGTTTTGAAGGTTGTATACATAGGGAGATGAGGTCAGTATAACAAGAAAGAGCCTTGAATTAAATTGTTGTTTTCATACTGGGATCTACTATCTGTTCCAAATGTGCTGTCACGAAGCCTGGGTGAAGCCCATTTTGCCGGATATTGCTCTTCCCTTGGCCTGGCACCATACAAAAGTTTCCTTCCTGTTAATAATTCTAGAAGCAATACTTTGAAGGCAAAGACATCTCTTACGCTGAACCTTGTTTGGCCATGGTCAGATGGAGCGTAGCCTCTCACTGAAATTATAGTCTCAGTTTCCTTATCAATTAATTTAACTGCTAGAACCTTCGTCAATGGTCTCAAAATATCCAAGCTACTGTCGCAAACACGAGTCAGCAAATTTTCATCCAGTAGAACGTTGGCAGACTTCAAATTACCATGGGCCATAGGCGGGTGTTTACAGTGATTTCTGGTAAACAACCGCTAGTCCTCCAAACTATCGAATAATCTTACTGATTGTTATTCAATCTCTCTGGTAACTCGCAGGATCGACTAGATTGATCATAGGATGTATTGGTCATTAGGGTAACTCTCATGATAGAATTGGTATTCATGGTTGGTATTTGGAATGTTGTGTAAGTGTTTAACTTACTTCGATTACTCTATTAAAATCTAAAGGCATGATCAAGTAAATGTGCGTGAAACCAAATTGCATGAATGAAGTTCAATTGTAAAGACATGTAAAAACTGCATAAAAACATGTAAATGACTTCGAAGCATAAAAACATGTAATGTAAAAGATTCTCTGGAATGTAAAAGATTCGAAATATGAAGAAAGCGTTTAAATGCAAGAAAATTGTAAAATGACTTTAAGTGAAAAAGGTGTTCGAATGATAAAAACTTGAAGATAAAGGCATGCAATGTATAACAGTTTCTGAAATGTAAAGTATTTGCAATGGAAAGAAAGCATTTAAATGTAAGGCATCAGTAAAAAGACTTCGAATGAAAACATTTTAAATGCAAAAGCTTGTGAATGGTATTGACATGAAGATAAAGGAAAGTACTGGAAATGATAAAGAGTTTTCATTAAATCATAAACATGTGGTGTTATCATACGTACATTGCTCGTGCATTCGTTTCCCTAGCCATGTGGTATTTTGAATGTTTATTGAGTTTTTTGTACAATAGATATTACACACGAAATCCTAATGCTAAGACTTCTATTTATACTACTTCGACCATAACGATCTTGCTATAAGATTCTGCCACGTTCAGAACATGCAGAGCAATGCCTCTCTCTTGCTTCCACGCGTCTTCGAATGCTCCAGCGCATATATTTCAAATTTCGAACATCCCGCTTGCATTTGAATTTCAAATATTTTGGCACTTCTTCGCTTCGAACGAATTTCTTAGACACAACCTTGTTATCATTTCGAGACCTCTTTGAATATATTCTCATAACTGTCACTCGAAACCCCAAATTTTGATATGCTCATTCGAAGCACTGCTTCTACCATTTCGAAACATGACATTTTGCTTTATTTTAAACGAAACGTCCAATTTACTTTGCTTCTAATAATATCATCAAAATCTTCAGCCAACAAAATGCCCCTTTAAAATATGTATTTCGATTCCTTTGAGAAATACTTATTTTAAACATATACACAAGATTTTGATGCGACCTTCGAATCATCGTAACATTTATTGCACATGACTCCAGTCACGTCAATCACAACGCTTTTCAGATTCCTTAACCGCCTTGAACCATTTCACAGCATGGTGCATTTACAAAACAATGATTAATATTTAATCACGCCTATTACCAATATTAACTTTACGCCACCTCTTCATCAAACCAACCCACGACTACCACGTATCACAATCTTACTCAGTGGATGCTTAAACTTCCACACTATAAAAACCCATCAACTTAGTCTTTTCTTTTCTTCCCACTTTCTGAATCTTTTCTCCATCTTTTCTCACCGAAACCCTAAACTTCCAACATTCTTCCAACAATGTCTTCTTCAACTTCATCTCAACTAAAAAAGGCCTCCAAAAAGAAAGGAAAGACCACAGGAACCACAATGGAAAGCAAGGTTGGCACCTACCAAGGTCAATCTGTTCTTGTTCCCCAGATGATCTCAAAAGAGAAAGAAATGCTTTATGCATCCCAGGTACTAATTCCTACTAACGCTGCTGGCAAGAGGTTAGCTTTAATGGGCCCTCTTACAGTTTTTGAAATTTTAAAAGACACCAGAAAAATTTTCCCAGTTTGTTACAATTTCAAACCTCTGTTTAATAAAATGGACTCCCCTAAGACAATAGAGTCTTCTGGTTCAAACCCCGTGGAAAGTCCAATCGTTCCTCCTAAGGACCCTTTTGTACTAGATTATGTAAAGAGTAACTTCAAACCGTTTCGATCTTGCCCCACCTCCGACACAGCTTATCATAACTGGTTTAATAAGGTAGAAGCTAAGAAATCCCAGCAATGGGAAGAATTAGGTATCTACAACTTGATTAAATTGTCGAAACCAGGTTTTACTTATAGCCATCCATTGTTATTCGCGTCCCTATATTTCTGGGACAGTACTTACAATACTTTCCATCTCCCTGGTGGAATGATTACACCTACCTTTTTTGACATAGCAGCCATAACTGGATTATCACCAATAGGAGAAACCTATATTCCTGACAACGAAGAGCATTCGAGTATCATTGACTTCGAAGTCAAGCTAGCTAACTTTTCAAAGTTTATCAGCCACTATCACACTGAAGGAGACAGTGTGTCGGATGTAGAACACATTGCTTTCCTTACCTTATGGTTGTCAAGGTATGTCTTTTGCAGCAGATCCCTACAGGTAGCCAGTAGGTTTATTCCTCTAGCTAGAGATTTGCATGAGAATCGGAGGGTGTGCTTAAGCGAACTGCTATTAGTTAATCTTTATGAAAGTCTAAGGTCAGCTGTTTCGAGTCTAAAATCTCACACCTCTAAGAATTTCCTGCTAGCTGGCCCTTTCTGGTTACTTCAGTTATGGCTAAATGCCATGTTCGAACCTTCACTATCAACTACCAACACTATTGCTGAACAAGACCCATAAATAGTGGATAGAATTATCGAAGGCACTAGGCTACAAAGACTTACCCCAAACGATGATAAGGATGATTTCAAAGTTCTCTTCTCAAAATATATCATGATTTTCTCCAAGAGGCATAAATTCGAAGAGACCATGGCGCCTTTTGCTTCAAGAACTCATGGACCTTCATGGTTCACCATGGCTCTCTCAGAAGCTGTCAAAAGCAAAGAAATTCAAGATGTATGGAGAGCCTTTTTGCTACCCAGACTAATCTCTTCAAGAATTACTCCTGCTAAGAATCAAATTTTCCTTTTCGCTTATCAGCCCAACTTCGTTTCGAGACAATTTGGCTTGTGCCAACTAATTCCTGAACCCCTATTCCAAACGGAAAATGCCATCACCTCTGGGCGAACCTTCAAGGCACGAGAATCCAAACTACAGCAGGAACAATACCAAGGCTTCACCCATTTTGAACTAATAACTTTCGCACCTACACACCTTACAGCAAAGGGGTTTCTGGAATGGTGGACAAAGTTCTATCAGACTTATATGTTCGATACTCTTACTATTCAGCAGAAACTAACTGATGCATTCGATGTGCAGGTACCATCCAAGAAAGGTATGTTTACTCATGCCAAAGAGATTAAGGCTTTTCAAAATTATTTCGAAACTACTTATGATCCCACACACTTGGAATCCACGGTGCATCAAGCGGCTGAGACCTTGAAGGAAAAATTCAAAGAAAAAGTTTCTAAGTTAAAACTTCCTTCAGGGTTGTCACCTGAGGATAGGTATAGGTTGGCATTCGAAATGCATCCACCTAAATTTCCTAGATTACCTACCTCAGAACTGGCTCTGGCTTGGTTTCCTCCATACCCTTGGTGGTTCACTTGCAAAGAAACGTTCAAATATCTTCAAAAGAAACCAAAGCCATCTGAGATTGTGACATGGGCTCGACACTGGCTCCACGATTTCCCAGGA